CAGGTCAAAACTAACACTTCGAATTTAGGGGAAACTACGTCAGCCTGTATCGGGTTCCTCACTTTCACATTTCTTCAGTCTACTTCTTCATCAAACTGCATTTTTAAAAATCCATATGAAGCTTCATATTTAATTTTGCAATTTAATTTTTACTTAAAATTTTATTATTTTAGTTCCTATTTTGAATGCATTTTCCTCATCTGTAAACATTGGCCAGGTACACATATTCCACTAACCCAGAATTTTTTAAAATCAGGGTGATTATGAGTGAACTAGTATGCCTGTCCATGCTGCCCAATCATTTCCACAGTATGTGGAAGCAACTAAACAAGCCAGGAACACTCCACTTCTGGGTCGTTTGCTGTGACATACCAGCCAAGGACCCTGGATTGTCTCTTCCCTACAAGGCAGAGCTGGAACCAGGATTTTTTAATTGTTGTCATGATGTGTAAACATGGCTATTCATGATGTGTATTCATGGCTATTTTGAGCCCAGAACTGTATTGCAACATTTAGCAGGTACAAAATACAATTAATAGCTACCTTGCAATTTGCAGATTAGTCGAACAGAGTGAGGATCAGTTCCCTTCATACTGCAGTTCAAAAAAAGTTCATTTTTTTCAAGCACGCCTACTTGAATTGGGTCCAGAGGCATGCTGGAAAGCACAGTGGTATTTGATAGATCTGTCTTCCATGAATTTCCCCAATCCCCTTTTCCTCCAAGTCATTGAATTTAGCCTGCTATCCCACACACAGTCCTGCACTCCTACACACACTGGTCCTAGGAGTAAGTTCCACTTCACTCAGTGCTATTTACATCTAAGCAGACATATACAGGATTAGGCCATAGCATCAATGGTCGCCACTGCATCTCTAACACTGACTGGTGTATGATATATGGAAGTACTGGATGTTGCTTTCTGTGGTTGCTTGAATTTGTTTCTCCTTTTGTTTCTGCAAATATGGAGGGAATGCACAAAGAGAGGAGCAATTTGGATCACTTTGCAAAGCAGTGTAGTAAATGCTGAGTCAAAGAAGTGGAGCTTTTGGTGTCCAAGACTCAGACTCCACCTCTGCATTATGTCATTTTGCGACTCAAGAGGAATCTTCCTGCTGCCTCACTGCAAGATTGACAGCTCTGCGCTTGCCCGCTTCCAGTCAGGAAGCATGCCCAGATTGGTGTCTCAGGCAGAAACATATCTGATAAGTTCCTGCAAGGACAGGAATTTTTGCTCTTAGATAGTCTCAAGGTAAATTTGTTTTGTTGGTTGAGTAACTCTGAATGTAGAAGCATATGAACTTCAGTTTCCAAATGTTTGGGACATGTTGCCCTCAGACCAAAAGAAGGGGCAAAGATCCTGCAGATCGGCTGCCCATGGGGACCCATTAAATCCTTTCACTTAAAAGCCTGCCAAGCCTCCCTGGAAAGTCAGAAGCAAACCAAATTTCCTCGGGACCATTTTCTCGAGCAGCTTTGTGGATCTCTCAGAAAGCCCCTTCCTCAATGATACTAAAAAGAACTGAGCAAGCTACACTGCACAAAATCTGACGGGTTGTTGAGGTATGCCAGCTGAGGTACTATGTTCTTCTAACCCTCTTCCAAAAGGGAAAAAAGCAGCTTCCAATTTATATTTCATAAAACTCCTTTTGCAATCCCTCATTCATTTGTAGATCAGTTCTCCCTAACCTGATGCCCTCCAGATACATTGGACTAAAACTCCCATAACAAATCCTCAGCCAGCATGACCATGCTGTCTCAGAATGATGGGAGTTTTTGTCCAATGTATCAGGAGAGCAACAAGTTGGGGAAAACTGTTGTCGATGAACTTAGACAATGGACAGTGTACATGCCTGCCAATGGCTGACCAGTGTAGCAAGCTCAGCAGTGTAGCATGAGTTGCTAGCAGTTCTAACATCAACCCAATATGAGCAGAAACACTTCATCAGGGAATTGGCAGGTCAGTGGAGCCTGCAGAAGGGAGCGTCTCAGACTGTCCCAATTGGGAAACAAACATTTCTTCTCGTTTTCTCAGTGGATTTTTGAACCACTTGGTTTTCTGTTGTGTGCGCAGTAATTCTCATGAAAAAGAATTAACATAACATCACCAGACTCTTGATACCATTTACTTAGTGCATGAGTTTACAGTGCCTGAGTGTTCAGGATATCTCAGTCAAAGGCAGCTCCAAAATGGCTACTTACCATTTGATCATGGGAGATAAGAGTTCATAATTATTGTTAAATGAGCATGTATAGACAGACACACAGATTAAATGGTGCTATGCTGGACAATAAGAATGGCATTCAGTTTCAGAGAAATCTGCTGTATTTATTACAGTGTAGTTAGAGCAGAGGCTCATTGCATTCTTCGTTATTTTTATATTCTGAGACTTAACATCCAGGTAAAACAACTGCTGTACAGTGTGTGTACATGCATGTATGTGTATACATGGTTATTATGGTTTATCTGTCAAAAACCACCCAGAGAGCTTCAGTTATTAGGCAGTATAGAAATATTATTTCTATATAATATTTCTATGTGTGTACATAATAATACACATCTCAGCTGCTAAAGCAGTCAATAGTTTGGCTTGAATTCCTGACTAAATGAAATTCTCAGACCTTAATACATTCAACCAGTGCAATGATTTGAACAGATAAACCTAATCTTTATGACTGATCCTTATCCCTTGGGTGGAAAGAGAGAATCTCTAATTATGGGCAAGTTGATAAAACAAGCAAACAAGATCCCATTGTTTGGTAAGCACTTGCAATACAGATTTTGACCTATTGCACAACCAGAAGAGTTTGTCATGGTTGTGGGTTTACCCACCAGTAACTACAACAAGTTTAGATACCATGCTACCTTCTGACACCTCCTTTCAAAACCCATGGTCATCCCGCAGTGTGAGTGAGCCCTCCTCCTTCCAGTCAATATAAACCTGTCTCTTACTTGGTAGCAGTAATGGAGTACCAGCTCTCTCCTCTCCTCTTCATTTCTTAATAGCTTAGTCATGAGGCAAACAGAAAACAGCACAGATAGAAATTAAAAAGGAACATACCTATCCTCTAACATACTAACACACAGTCAACATGTGCAGATTAAATCTCATCTCACTGATATGGCTTCCCTTCTGTAAGGAACTGTATTAGTTGTATAAAGTTAGTTGTATAAAGAAAGTTAGTTGTATACAAATTAGTTGTGTAAAGAAGTAAGGATGCATAGTCTTCTAAGCCCAATGATGGACACTCTCGGCAGGGTGAGCAGGCAGGCACATCTGGCAGGGCGGGCAGATGAGACACCGGAACGCTCTTTGGGCAGGTAGCTTGGGCCCTCCCTGCAACAGATCCGGGGGTCAGCTGGGTCTCTCTTTTCCTTGCAGTGATGGTAGTACAATTTGGGCAGCACCCAGTAGGCCTTCTGGTCCCAGGCTGCCAGCACGGATCTGGGACATGCCCTTGGTCAATGGCTGGAGGCATGAGATGACACAGGGGAACAGCCAATCGCCCAGTGCAGTGAAGGACTGGTGGCTGGGCCCACTGGCGGCATCATGGCCAGCTGTTCACAGTGTGGGAAGAACAGCCTGCTGGTGGAAGAGACCACTGCCTGGAGTGCAGGATGGTGAATCCTGGATCTCCCCTTCGGAGAATCACTGCATCCCTGCTGGTTCCAATTGTGGGGCGGGCTGGTGGAGGCACAGACGGCACGAGTGAAAAATGACACCCAGGCTGCTTTTCATGTTTGGCCTTCTGCGCCTCCAGCAGCCTTTTGTCCCTTTCGGCCAGCTGCCTCGCCTGGCATGCCTTGTTCAAGCACCCAGGCATGGGCGGCTTGGGGCAGAAGCCCCTGCAACTGCCAATGGAGGGCAGGAAGATGAAACAGCCTGCAAGGTAGATGGGCATGCAAGCAGTGCTGTCTCAGCCAAGCTGACAGCCAGAAGGGGGCAGGTCAACAGTTCAGCCTGCAACCTCCCCAGCTGGTTTTTCCAGGCCTTCCTAGTGAAGCCTTGAGTCCAGGTAGCCCTCCACATGGTGTTCTTCACCAAGGCAGAAGACACAAAGGGAGTGCCTGTCCATGGAAGGCAGACGGCTCCCACAGCAACACACTTCAGAAAAGGTGCTTTGAATGCCACCCGGAAAAAAGGAAGAAGCAGTGTAAGAGAAAGGGATAGTCCAACAAGCACCATGAGGTGCGGAGCAGGGGGTGGGGGTGGATATAGAGGGGCTTTTTAAAGAAAAACAAAGGATGAAGTAGGGTTTTTGAAAGGACACTCGCGAGAACATAACTAGAGAACAAGCTAAGAAGGAGTACTTGGTAAAAATCAAATGAAGGACAAGATGAAGAATTACCCAAGAGAGGAAAGTTGGGGCACCCACAATGGTGGTCAGAAAAGAACTGGGAAAATGGTGGGAGCCCCTGCTAGAAATGCCAGAAGAGGCAGGGGAGGGACTGCCACCAGAACGAGTCTATCTTGAGAATCTTCCCAATAACAGCTCCCCTTGTAGCTGCAGAGCCCGTGTGTGATGCACAGAGACCACAAAGAAGAATGACAATTCCCAGGATTTCTTGTCAAACATAATGGCACTTCACCTGTTCTGTGACTACCTTTCCCATATTGCTGTAACTGTGTGCTTCCAATGGGGTTACTACACTGGTAGCCACTTCACACAAACACCTTCCTACATATTTGTTTGCAAGCACACAAGCATTCCAGTGCTTCCACAGGTTAATGGAAATTTAGAAAAGATTTAATTGAGTGAAGCATACTGCAGTATCCTCTAAGACCCAGGAAATATGTCACCCTCTCAAATGTCATGATTTTAAAATGAAAAAACACAAAGCACCAACATAAATACTGCAATTCCTCACAGTATCAATGACCTCCGTCCCTGAACTGGGAATGGAAGGCTGTTAGAGTTTTGTTTTTGTTTTCTTACATATTCAGGGCAAATTATAAACATGACACAAAGATTTTTTTTTTGTGATGGAAAGAGCACCTACCAGGTTTAATCTCCAACAACTTCAACCTGGAGTCTTCAGGAGGATGTAAACGTCTCTTTTTGCGCCAGCAACGAGCAGGATATGTATAAAGCTGACCTGGTGCTAGTCCTGAGGGTTAAATGGAAATAAAAATAATTCACACATTTTTGTTTGGTTATCAGATCATCATTAACCTTGCTAGAATGTTGAACTGCCCTTTATCATATCTAAAATTATACTCCAGTATATCTTGTCCATGTAAGATTCTAAGTAACTCTTTGACATTTTTGACTGTTAGAAATGTTTGAAACTATGTAGTATCTTTCAGATCACAGTGGAATGTGATGACACAGGATACAGCAGCAAATGTGCTGCCGAGTGCCCAAGCACATTGCTACCCACATTTAAGCAGAATTATCACATCACTGATGTATCTCTGGCACAAATTGCAACACTCAACCACACAATCATGTGCAGAGTCCAAAAACCACAGAAGAATTCACACCAACACAGATTAGCTTTACATCAGTTGGTACTGATGTAATTGGTTCCATCAATTTCATGGAAACATGGCCTAAAGTTTCATATGGAATCCAGGACTGACAAAGTCTACTTGTGAATATGTGCCAGGTATGGACAACTTGTTGCCCTCCAGAAATTTAGATCTACAATGTGCATCATTCTTCACAATTGGCTATGGTGCCTAGGGATGTTGGCTGATACTTCTCACTTTTATTATGTTTATGCTGTGAAAACATTGGTAAGCTAGACTTCTGACATGGCTCTGAAGACTGCATGCAAGGGAACACAGTGACAGGATAGGTTCTGTGGTGTGGCTGGCATAGCAATAGCAATCTGAAGTTTAATACAGAAACAGTTGACCTTTTGCTTTCCTCTAGTGGGGGAAATGAGCTTGTTGCTGTATTTTGCAGCATCCAATTCTAGAATCTCAAACAACTCAGAAAAGGGATTCTGACATGTATATGGACTACTCACTGAAATTCCAAGACTGGCACTGCAAGCAAATCCACAAAATGCTAAACTAGGGGGGAAAGGTGATATATAAAAGTGTATCATTTAGGCAAACTACTCTTGTATACTCATCCTGAATAGTGTATGTTATGCAGTCTGGACAGAAAGACAGTAAAGGCCCCAAAGTTTCAACAATATGATTTTAAAAACACAAAGTTGGGAAAGAGATTCACCGAAGGCCTGATTAAATACTGTAGTAACTATTAAAGAGACAGGAAAGTATGATACAAAATACAATCTGGAATGTGTGTACTTCCTAACACTTGAACAAAAGACAAAGAGTCCTCCTTGACATTAAAGATTAAAACCAGTTAATTGTGGTCTGAACTTTAACAGGAAGAAATGGTGCTGCTTCAGATACATTGCTAAGGCTGCAAAGGTTATCAGTATATTTGGGTCATGGCACTTTGGAGAAAAAAAAACAAGGTTAACAAGGTAAGATTTAAAGATTATAGAAAAACACAAAGACATTCTTCTAGCAGGGATCTGTCTTTGCTAGAGCACCAATGCATGAATACTAACTGGAGTTATCAGCACATGAGAGACAATTACTTTTTATAGTCTTTATTTAAACCAAGATATATAGTAGTAAAATTGAGTAATGAACTCTAATTAGTCACCTTCTCATTAATTTTCTACAAAACCTTAATAATAGCAATCTTCAGGTCTAGAAAGGGCATACCCAGGGAAATTTGAAATGCCCCCCATTTACACAATGCAATTGTTAGCATTCCATTATTCATGCTCATTTGTATTTTTATTTATTTTTTACTGACTTGTTTGGCTTATCAAACGTCATGTGGTAGGTGACAACATATGTGGCAATGAAAGATGTTCAAATGTGCCCTTGATAAATATAGTTAAGGCCTGCCAGTAGGCATAGTCATACATTTGTCAGTAGATGAAAGGGTTGAGGTGGGGAAAGGATTGACCTGGCATTGGGCAGTAGGTTTGTTGCAGAAGTTAATGGATGAAGAATCTGGCTTTGTTGAGTAATTCACTCAAGGCTGGACTTAAACTGAAGCTACTGTTACAGACAACAGATTCTAGAATGCCAACGGATGTTCCTCTAGCAAGAAACCATAAAGAGATGCCATCAGCATGCTAATGACACACAACATTGCATCTCTTTCTCATTGAACCTAGGTGACGTGGCTTCCATTCTGAATCACTGCCGGAGCTCGATAATGGACTGGCCAACAAACTGAATCTCAATCTAGATAAGATGGAGGTACTGCTGGTGGATGGTCCATCTGCCCAGAAGGTGGGCCTTCAACCCGTCCTGGATGGGGCTGCACTCCCCCTGAGGAACAGGGTCCATAGCTTGGGAGTGTTCCTGGACCTGAAACTATCACTCGAGTGACAAGTTGACTTGATGGCCAGGAGCACCTTCTTTCAGCTGTGTTTAATTTACCAACTGCAGCCCTACCTGGACAGGCAGAGCCTGGCCACTGTCCTACATGCTCTGGTAACCCCTAGACTGGACTATTGTAACAGGTTCTGTGTGGTGCTGCCCTTGAAGACTGACTGGGAACTTCATCTAGTACAAAACAGGGTAGCACAACTGCTGGTGTAAGCAGGACCACACGCTCATGTGACTCTGATATTGTATCATTTTCATTGGTTACCAGTTGAGCTCTGGTCCCAATTTAAGGTGCTTGTTCTAACATATAAATCCCTAAACAGTTTGTGACCAGGATATCTGAAGGATGCTTGCTCCCGTACACACCTACCCAGCCCCTAAGATCAGTTTTGGAGGCCCTTCTGAAAGAGCCATCCTACAAGGAGGTCAGGAGGGTGGCAAATAGAAGAGGGGCCTTCTTAGCGGTTCTGCCACACCCATGGAATGGCATCCCAAAGCAGTTCACCTGGTGCCTTCATTACAATCTTATAGCACCACATGAAAACAATTTTATTTTCTAGACATTTTAATAATTGATCTTCTCTTGGTAATTTTAAAGGTGGATTTATAGGATTGCTGTTTCAATCTACACTGCTTTAAATTCTTTCCTTCAGGATATTGTTTTGTGTTTTATTTGATTGTTTTTGTTGCTATATTGTGTTTTTAGTTTACTGTAATCTGCTTAGAGAGTGCTTGGGCTAATACAGCAGAATGTGAGTTTAATAACAAATAAATAAATAAATAAATAAATATAAATAATACATTTTCTTTATAGTTTTCTCTTTTGTCTTTCACAAAAAGTTTCCAGGCAGTTTATTCCCAGTGAGTGATATCAGCTAGCATTCTAGCAGCTGCACTCTAAGAAAAGTTTGTGAGCCCCCTTCATGGTCAGCCCTGTGAGGCTGGACTTCCTCTGACCAGGAAGGGCCATAGGTGGCACAAAGAACATCATGTTACCAAAGATATTTATGGCCACACTGGGGTGGGGGGGATTTAGCTCCTCACACTGCAAGCCTGATTCTTCCAGGAGAGTGCAGCGCTACCCAGAACAGGTTAAGTATCATTTCTTCAAACAGGCAAACCACCAGCCTACAGATTTGCTTGTCTAGTCAGGGCTGACCCTCAGCTAATTTTGATGTTTCACTTGCAGTTCAAAATATCTTTGGCCGCATGGGACCATGGCTGGAGAGCCACTGTTTCTGGTTAAGGAACTATATACAACCAAATAACAGCCCCTCTTCTTAAGGATGACTTGAAACAGGGCAGCTTCTAGAAGGTTTTAGCTGAAAGCTCTAGTCATTCCAAGGACTGTTGTCCTGCACTTTCTTCTATACCTGTATACTGAGCAAAGGCCTTGTCAATGAAACCTGCAGGAGCCAATCATAATGTGGAGATAATCAGCCGACCTTTTACCACAGGATGTGTTTGAGCCAATAGTTAAGCAAGAAGCAAGGTGGTTCTACCCATTAAGTATGACACAAAAATATATAGCGCAATGCATTACGTTGTAGTTGCTGTCAAGATCTAGTTATGACACTGTTATGTTATGCTTCAAACTTGGCTGATTAATGTATATTCTGATATGGCCCTCCAAAATAATAAAGGATATAGATAGATGTAGATGAGATAGAGTAAATAGTAAAGGATATAGATAGATCTAAATGTGATGGTGTAACTTAGTGTCCTGCAAGAGCAGGGGGTTGAACATGATGGCCTTCTGGCACCTTCCAACTCTACTATTATATGATTCGATGATTCTAGAAATAGATGACATAGGTACATGATATTAACTTGCAGCCCCTGTATTTCATTTCCAGGAAACTGTAGGCATTCCAAATACTTGGCTACACAAATAGCCAGCCACAGAAGGAGCAGTAGTGCAAATCCAGAAAGGTCCAAAGGTAACTATAAAAAGCACTTGCACTTTCCTGTTGCCCTTAGAATAAGTTTTCCCATTGACTCCTGGAAAGTGGATCCTGGCTCAGAAGGCCCAATGAAATCAGTTAACCAAACTCCTGCACAAGTCTCCCAAGTGGGAGTTCTGTCCAGAGCTCCCTTTGCTACACCATCCGCACTGAGAAACCCTGCAGTGCTAGCATTAGGAGCTGGGGTACTGCACAGCTGCTCAGTAAAGCACAGGACTGGGCTCTTAGTTTTGCCTCCATTGGGCAGAAGTATGATTTTTTCACAAAATCCCAAATCCCTGTTCTTTCACTGGAACATTATGTAATGTAATATACACTCAGGCAAGAGTTTCTGTGGGAATATGATCTTGTATGACCCCAAACATTTATTTGAAGCTCTTCTCCCACAGGATATTCTCTCATAACAGGGCACAGGCACCACTCACATAAATATGGTCCCCTATAGCATAATGTACTACTGTAGTGTCCAACTCAGCTTAAACCTTTCTGTTCCCTGGGGAAGTCAGTGCTACATGATGGCATCCTGGATAGTCAGAAACACAGCAACTGTGTGTGTGTGTGTTTGTGGACAGAGAGAGAGAGAGAGTACAATTGCGCAGTGTTCATATGCACACATGCCTATGGGATCTTCTTTTCCCATCATGCTGCAGCAGACTGGGAATAGGAGATGAAATGACAGGGTTTTTTTTTTTTTCAAAATTGCTGCATCTATGGTAATTGTAAAAACAATTGTAAAATCTAAAGCGGAAATGGTTTCAGTATGTTGGACA